CACACGCACACACACACACACACACACACACACACACACACACACACACACACACACACACACACACACACACACACACACACACACACACACACACACACACACAGCACGCACGCACGCACGCACGCACGCACGCACGCACGCACGCACGCACGCACGCACGCACGCACGCACGCACGCACGCACGCACGCACGCACGCACGCACGCACGCACGCACGCACGCACGCACGCACGCACGCACGCACGCACGCACGCACGCACGCACACACGCACGCACGCACGCACAAACGCGCACGCACGCACGCACGCACGCACGCACGCACGCACGCACGCACGCACGCACGCACGCACGCACGCACGCACGCACGCACGCACGCACGCACGCACGCACGCACGCACGCACGCACGCACGCACGCACGCACGCACGCACGCACGCACGCACGCACGCACGCACGCACGCACGCACGCACGCACGCACGCACGCACGCACGCACGCACGCACGCACGCACGCACGCACGCACGCACGCACGCACGCACGCACGCACGCACGCACGCACGCACGCACGCACGCACGCACGCACGCACGCACGCACGCACGCACGCACGCACGCACGCACGTGTGCATGCACGCACACACGCACCCACCCGATCTCCCGCCCGGCACGCACGCACGCGCGCGCACATGCGCACGCACTCGCACTCGCACAACACTTCAAAGACGCGAAAGGGCCCACAAAGTGCGGACTAGTTTTAGCTCGCCCTCATGGCTTCCCTCTAGTTTCTGGAGCCAGGGCAAAAACCAGCAACAGCGCCAGACCGGATGGGCTGGTTGTACTAGTTGGAAATCAAGGACTCAGCACAGGCACCGCCCCCATCCGGGGTGAGACACAGCAGAGGCAAGACACGGCGCAAGACAAACCCGCAAGTTGTCCCTCTGCGGGCAAAACCCGAGCCAAGAAACAAGAAAGGCAGGGAGAAACCCGCGCGTGCGTCTCGGGGGCAACAACCTCAAACGAAGCAAAACTAGACAAAGAAAACCGCAAAGGTGACCTGCCAGAAGACAAAGAGGCCATCAAAGGGGCCAAGGAAAGGCGCACAAATGGGTCTGTGTTTTTTTACCGTGTCAGTTCTTTAGTCTTCGTGGGAGGTGGGGCTTGGGCGAGCCATACCCCCGAATCATACCCCGAACCATACCCCCGAGCCATACCCCGAGTCATACCCCTAAAAAAACACAAAAAAAAGAACTTGCAAGAACTGTGGCATTTGCATGTGATCATCCATGGATAGCTGGAAGCTATAGGGGGTTTAACTTCAAGTGAAGAAGGGGGTCTTGTCAAGAAACAGTGTTAGAGAGCTTGACATGTGGACCGATGCCAGGCTCCTAGGTAATACCTGGTTCACTTGGCTCAAGTGGTGTTCCTTGACACTCGGTTACCCACCTCGGTCTTGGCTGTTACTTTCAATGGAAAGTGCCAATGGATGGAGTTATAGAGCAATCCTGCGGATGTCCTGGTACTAGAGTTGTCTGTAGCATCCGTGGTGCTGTGGCGGGGGGGTGCAGCTTGACGTAAGACGCTAGGACTTGCAGGGCGCTGTGGCGGGGAGTGCTTCCTGCAGTCTGTCCGACGCGGTGGAAACAGCTGTCTGTCCTGGGCCACTGTCGCAGTGAAACACAAGCTGTCTTTGTGCTCCTGGGGTACTCTTGGTGTCTTTCCGGTCGAAAAAAATCTGTCCCGCGATTCATACCCCCGATTCATACCCGATTCATACCCCGATTCATACCCTTCTGCTGCCATTTGCAGCCAAGAGCCTCTTGCGCACTGGGCAGTACTAGCGAAGCTATGCCGCCCGAATCCTCAGAAGACGCAAAACTCAAAGAGAAGCACTGCAGGAACCAGCTCGCGGCTCTTTTCGCAGAAGTTCGCCAGAAGGTGGGTTCGGAAGGCTTACTGCGATGCACGGTGCACCACCTGTGAGAGGCCCACTAGCCTCTGCGCGGCTGCCGTTTGAGGATGTCACGCTGTCTTGCCCTTACGCTGGTTCGTGACTGGTGCGGGTGGCGGGCCTGACTGGGCAGCGGCGCTTCCCCTTAAGCAACGCTTGCTTGGGTCTGTGAGCACGCGGGTCGCTTGAACTCCAAGTGGAGGTGGCCATGACGTTCGCCTCAGGCAGTGGCTCGGCGCCTCCCACCTAGCGCAGCAGCTTTCGCTAACCCACTCACGCAGAGTGGCAGCTGTCTAGTTCAGGCTACTCACAAGCGCCCCAGGCTGGCTTGTAGCAACTAAGCGGGCGAGCCATACCCCGAATCATACCCCCGAGCCATACCCCGAACCATACCTGCGATTCATACCCCTTATACCAACCTCCCGGCACGGCCACGTCAAAAAAACACATACCCAAATAGAGAAGATCAGGAAGAAGAGGAAAAGGTATCCATTCCGCAAATGTGCCAAGTGACGCCTGCTCGGAGCAATTTCGAGTGTTCCAATTTGCGGAAGAAGAGGCAGAGGACGAAGGCCCCTCTACTTAGCGGGGCAGAGGCAGAGCAACCAATCGAGGCAGAGGCCCAAAGCGCTTCCGAAACATCAGTGGTACCAGCCGCGTGGAGACATCACCAGCTCGCTAAAACCTTAAGGTCTTTAGAGCATACACACACACACGCCACACGCTTGATTTGCTCCATTCCGGAGAAAAATCCTGTGACTTCCCAACTTGCTGCCAAGCTGCCTTGGATGATGGCAAGAATGTCATCAGGAAGCCGAAAGGAAGGACATCCTGCTAAGCAGGATTGTCAATTAGTCTCAATGCAAGGCAGTGCTGACACACGCAGTGTCAGGGCAAAAAGGGGGTGAGAGCAGGCACGCTTCATGAAAAGTATGTGAGTCCTCTTTGGCCCACAACTGTTCCGTAAGAAAACTGTTATTAAGTAAAGCGCTTTTGGCACGCGCACAAACGGATCCAAACCCACACCCCGCGCCACAAAATCTCTTGTCCACCCGCTTTGCGACCTGGGAATTCATGCTGACCCGGAGTCTTAGCTGTCCATCGCTTGTATTGAGCATGAGCGGTCTTGGCTACAAAGGCCGCCTACACGTGGCAAGATATGGTTGGTTTGGCAGGCAACGCCTTCTGCGGGTGGGCGGCTGTCCTATCATCCTTGCTTTTGCTCAGTTTTGGTCAACAGCCAGATGAGCATCAGCAAGCTCTTTGAGTGATGCGCTGGATGGCATTGTTGTGACCAAATGCCAACTTGGCAAGCTATGGCTTCGGACAAAACATGAACTGACAAGTCAGGCACTTTCTTTCACCTGAATTTTGTTGCTTCTGAATGCCCGGGTTTGAGCCATTTGAGTTGCTGTCGCCAAGCTGTTTTTAGCAATTGAGCATGTGCTTTTGCGCCGCCAATGTCTCTTTAAGCAGGGGCTGTAAGCTCGGCGCAAAGCAAAGCCGAACAGTGGGCATCGGTGCAAGGCCGTGACAGTTTTGGCTCGGGCAGCGAAGTGCACAGACGTGCGCTCCTTCCTTAGGTGACGGCGATGTTTGCCAAAGGGGCCGCAGGCAACAAGCGGCGCACTTCAGGCGGAGGTGGTGCGCCCAAGCGGCGGGCGCCGGCAGACCATCCTGGAAGTGATTGCTGCTTTGCGTGCGGCGCGCAGGACTGCGCGGAATTTTGCGTTTGCTCCAATCCCAGTTCCAGGCCCCAGGCCCAGCCAGGCCTTTTTTCTCACGCCTGTGTATGTATCAGACTAGCTTTTGCCGAGCGCAGTGCATTTAGGATTGTTGTTCCTGTTGGTGCATGGCTCTGACTCGGCTCCGCGGCACTTGTCAACCTTGCGCTGCTTGCGCCTGCGGTTCATGCGCGCAGTCCTGCTTGCTAGTGGCCCTTCTTTCAAGTCTTTCTCCGCGCGTGCGTGTGTATGTGTGGTCGGGTGTGTCTGGCGTTCCATGCCTGGTCGGCGGCGCGGTGTGTAGCCCATGGCATTCAACATGTGAGAACCCCTGCTTGTTTTGTTTTTCATTTTGTGAGTGGAGCCAGCGGATTTGACTGGGCATTCTCGGCGCGAGGGCCCTTGAGTTGTAGCGGCGAACAGGGATTGAAATTTTCAGCGGAGCCTTGGGCGGGGAAATTTCGGAGATGGGCATGAGATAGGATAGGGGTCAGGCTAAATCGGTCAAAGCTCTTCTTGTTGGCAAGTCTTGGCAAGAGGCGCCGTCCCATCTCATGCTGCGGCCATCTGCTTTGGATCGGACGCCAGTCAGGCGCCAAGGAGCCATGCGTGGGAGGTCAGCATCCTTTGAAACTTTTGTGTAGATGGAATCAACTATTTTTGCACCCGCGCGCAGCACTTAAGTGTCTAGCAAAACCCCTCTTTCCAAGACTTCCCGGAAGGCGATTTGGTCTAACCCCTATCCTGTCATGCCCCGCAAATCAGGCACATCGCGAACAAGGACTTGGGCCATTCCAACCAGCCCGAGCCAGCGCACTCCAAGTTGTTTCCGGACTTTTTCCGGACTTTTCCGGAAGTGCCATGCTGAACTGAAATTAGATTCGGGGGGCGTCCCGTCTGAACCAGGTCTGAAACCAGTCTGAAACATCGGAAATGATCTCCCAACTGCTGCGTGGTAAGAGCCAAGTTTGAAAGAATTTCCCCCCCCCCCCCCCGCACTCCGAGTGTCAGGATCCACGGAAAATGTGAACAATTTCCGGGGATGGGAAGGAGGATTTCTAAGGAAGGGAAGGGCATGGGATGGGTGGCGGTCAGACCAAATCGGTCAAGGCTCTTCTTTCCGGCAAGTCTTGGAAAGAGGGGTTGCTAGTCCGTGTCTGAAACTGAAGCAAAAGAAGCCGGCAGTGTCTACCCCCGGAAAATTTGGAAGTTCTGGGGAGGGGAAGGAGGAGACCAAAGGAAGGGAGGGCATGGGATACGGGAAAAGTTGCGCAGAGGCCTTTCTGGCGTGAGCAAAGCCGTGTCAACCTCAATCATAAATTTGTGCAACGTTCCCGGTTCAAGAGAGGTTCGAACCTTGTATTGGTCGATTCTTAGCACCAGCTGTTCACGGTTCGGTCCCAGAGCGGTTTGAAGCGATTCGATTCTGACAGGGCTTCGATCGCGGTTCTTGATTCGATTCTATGCCTCCCTGGATCAGGAGGACCGGGTTGGGGGGGGAGGGTATGCTAAATAGCCCATGATTATTGATCGTTTGTTGTTGCAACTAAATCTGCTCGCTTTTTCACGGGAAGCCATTGTACCTCCTTGTTTATGCTGCCGGCGCTGTTGGCGACCCCATGCGTTTTACTGCTTTTTACGCACCTGCTCAACACTGTACCCATGCCTGCCACTGGTGAGCACCCGCTCAACACTGTATCCATGCCTGCCAATGGTCCCGCTCAACACTGTATCCATGCCTGCCAATGGTAAGCACCCGCTCGACAATGCATCTATGGTACACAGGCCAGCTCAAGCGCGCCCGCTCAACTTTGCATCCATGCCCGCCAACGGTAAGCAGACCAGCTCACCCGCTCAACTCTGTATCCATGCCGCCCATGCCTGCCAAATGGTAAGCACACCCGCTCAAGGGCACCCGCGCAACTCTGCATCCATGCCTGCCAAATGGTAAGCACACCTGCTCAAGAGCACCCGCTTAGCTCTGCATCCATGCCTGCCAATGGTAAGCACGCCCGCTGAATCCCACTCAACTCTGTATCATGCCAAGCCATGCCTGCCAATGGAAAGCACACCCACTCAAGCACGCCCGCTCAACTGTATCCATAACGCAAGCGCGCCCGCTCAACTCTGCAATTGCCGCTCAAGCGCACCCGCTCAACTCTGTACCCATGCCTGCCAAATGGTAAGCCCCGCTCAAGCTTCCACGCCTGCCAATAATCAGCACACCCGCTCAAGCGCTATGCCTGCCAAATTGGTGCGCGAAAAAGCGGGCAGGTGCTCGGTGACCGCCTTCGCCATCCGTTGCAATTTTGCAGGGAGTAGGTGCTTTTTGATTCAATCGAAGGCCTCAAAAACTATGTGGGGGGAGAAAATCCTTTAAAACGAGCATTCAACGAAACGCGAATTGTAACTCCGTTGCTTGTAAGTATTGCGTAGTTAGAGCATGTGATTTCAAGTCATTTTTTGTTTTGTGCGCGCAGGGCAGTGTTGCTGCCGCACCGGGGCCTTGAAGACGGTCAAGAAACGCAGGGGTCACTAAAGCCGGTACCTTGTTTATGGGCGTCACAAACAGATTGAAAGTCTCTCCATCCTCTGGAAATGACAATGGGCACGATGCCAGCCTCGGCAGCACGCAAGCTACAAGGAACAACTTGTCCTTTTTCCCCCAACGGCCGAAAGCTATGGGGTCGGCTGCCGGAGCTGTTGGGGATGCCGCCTGGGCTTATTTTCCTCCAAACGTTGCTCAAAGTAATCCCCCCAAACCCCATCACCCCCAACAGGAAATTGTATCGGCCATGAGCAAGGGCCGTTTTGGGCTTGTGTTGTTTTGAGTTTTTGTTTCTCTTTCTTCCTTTCTTTGTTTCTTTTTGTTTGTGTTTCTTTGTCTCTTTTGTTTGTTTTTCGGGCGGGGGGCGGGGGGGAGGTTCCCGTGTTTCGAGAGTCCTCCCAGGCCTGACCTGTACCTGGATGCCTCCGTTGAGGCACGCCGTCGGTGCCCGGGTCACAAATGACTTGGGCAAGTGTTGAGTTTCCTTGGTGAGTTTTTGCTTGTTTTTGGTTAGTTTAGGTTTTTGCTTGTTTTGGATTGGTTTGGGTTTTTGCTTGTTTTTGGTTTGATTTGGATTTTTTGTTGTTTTTCCTTCCATCTTGTCTACTCACCTGGTTGCAGTGTCAAGCTGGGTACATCAATCCTTCATAGCAGGTCATGTTATATGTGGTGTCATAACTGTTGTTGGCAAGTGTTTGGGTGTTTAGTCGTTTCGGGGTTTTGCGTGCATTTTGGGTGGGCTGCAAAACGCACTGTTTTGCAAGCCCATACCAAGGGTTGTAAAGTTTCCTGGTTTCACATTTAGCCTGAGATTAAGAATATTAACTTGTGGTTTCCCGGAAAAAAAAAGGGGAAAAAAAAAAAAAAAAAAAAAAACGAAAAAACAACTCCCAACCAAAAAGAGATCTCCCAAAAAGGGTAAGGACATTGGACATTGTGCTGGCTTTGCCCCATGCGAGGTCTTTCTGCATTTGTGCGATCTCCAAAGGGCATGATGCAGTTAGGAGTAAGTTGCCTGTTTTCGTGGTCGCGTTCAATCTATGCAATGGCCATCAACCTCTTAGGGCTTTAAACCAATGCCAAGGTTCCAGGTATGATTCAACAGGAAAACATGACACGGAGTTTGCTGTTTGACAAAGGTCAGCTGTTTGTTGCAGAAGCATAGGACTGCATTTTTCATCGAGTCGAGTTCTTGGTCCATCAGCTTCGCAGCCAATCGTATGAGGTTCGGACTTCATGCGAAAATCCGATTCTGTTTGACAAGCAGTTTCTAAGTTTTGGATAGACCGTGGCTTGCATCCATCTTGTGGAGAGGCTTCAAGGGGTATGTTTGAGGTTTCCTTTTGATGAGGTCATATCGTGGCTGGACAAAATCCTCGTCATACCAGTTGGGCTGAATGAAACCCTATGAGTATTGGCGACAACCACCGATCCTAACTGGTGCAACTGGCTACGATTTTGCAACCGTCCGACAGAGAGCTCTTCAGGCAGAGATTTCCATTCATCCCCACCGGTTTTGGGGGGTGGGGGGATCCATTCCGTGTGTACCTCTGTGTGTGTGTGTGTGTGCGCGTGCGCGTGCGCATGCGTGTTTGTTTTGTTGCTTTTTGCGGTTACGGCGACATCAATCGAACACGTCTTATTCAATGGGTCCGGGCCAAAAAATAACCGTTTTCCGCTCCACCGACAGAGAGGCAAAACATCCTTTGAATCACTTGACTCTTGTTGGCATGTTGCTTGTGTTTTGTTTGCTTTTTGTTTGGCTGCCTCCTTTTTTTCCCTGTCGTGGGCATCCTTTCGATGGGATTTCTCGGCCAGGAAAGGCGCGCCTCCATGGGCAGCTATTCCGCCCAGAAGTCCAGGCACGCAGATCGGTCGGAAGAGTCGCTCGGGCGGCGCTTCCCGTGGGTGTTGTTGGGACACAGTTTTTACGTTGTTGCTTGTAGTTGAGTGGGACATCCCCCACTGAACTGCTTAGATTTAGATTTCTGTTTGCTCCCCTTCCAACGTCAACCAAGTTCCTTTGAGCGCCACCGTTTTTGGCCACCCCAAAAGGGCTGGAGCCGAAAGGAGAACTCCAGAGGTCCCGGTATCTTAAGATGCGTGCCATTTTCTCCCGGGAGGTTCCTCCATGGCGAACGTGGGTGCTTGTGCAGGGAGAGGTCCCGAAATGAGCCACAATCAAAACCCGGTAAGTGAAGGTTAGCAAAGGATGATCCCAACCGCAAATAGCTGCGGATATCCGCCTTCTTAGTTCTTTAAGTGGTTCTGGGTAGGCCATTCTAATGCCAGGTTTTGATTGTGACTCAAACGGCGTAATGGCGACGCAGGCGACGCAGGCAGAATGTACGTCCGAGGGTACGAATTGCCTTGGTTGCTGCTCACCTCTGCCATAGGCTGTTTGCGCCCTTTGTGTTTTGCCATAGGCACGTACCCTCCGAGTTTGGACACGCGTCCAGTTTGGTTGTGTGTCAACATGGGGGGACCGTCTAAAATGGCGGCCTTGCTTTTGCTTTCCCATTTGGAGGCTTTCGCCCAATTCGGACGCTTCCATTTGGGTATGTCTTTTTTTGAGGGAAATGGTGCACCCTGTTTCACGTGTCCCCTCCTCTCAACAGTTTTTCCCACCCTCAACAGTAGAACCAGTCAGCGCAGTCCTCTTCAAATAGGGAATATCCTGGGAGTCTGGGAGGGACTTGGACTTGCTGGTACTTCCTTTTGTATTCTCAATACTTGATTCAGCATTGCAAAGGCGTACTCTCAGATTCCCAGTACTTGGTTGAGTATTGCCAGTCCAAATTTTGCATTGCTAAGACTTCTTCTCAGATTCCTAGTAATTAGCTTAGTATTGCCAACTCTAAATTTATGTTTGCCAAGCATTTCTCTCAGTTTTTTCCCGGCAAAACAATACTTTCTATCAAAGCGGACCGCACCACGGTCACAGGGCCTCTTGTGGGCAACCCCTTGGTGTGACTGTTTGCCCGTCCTTTGTTGAAAATAAGTTATCTTGAACGTGATGGTTGGGGGGGACCTAATGTTTGCCCGGATGTGTTTGCCCGTTTTTTGTCCAGTCATTTCTTTGGCCATTTCGTTCGCCCATTTTCTTGGTCAAAGGAACTGTCTAGTTAAAGCCAACCCCAACACAGTCACAGGTTCCTGACTGAACAAAAATACTGTCTACAAGAGAGGCCCCTTTTGTTAAAGAAGTTCGGCCATTACCCCCTTGAAGGTTGTTTTTAGAGCCGAAAGGAAAACCACCCTGGGGAGCAGGGTCCAACCTAAAAAATGAAACCTGTCGGGCCGTGGAGCCCAAAAGCCCAAAGCGAGGCTCTCCTTGCACGAGAACGGGCGGATGAAGCTCGCGAAAGGGGCCAGCAGACAGGCGCAGTGCCTGCAGGCGAGGAAGTCGTGAGATCGAAACCGACGTGCGTCGAGGGGACACCGAAAGCTGTAAACTTGGGCGGTTCCCAGCGAATCGTGCGCTTCCTTAGGCTTGTTGCTTTTGATATTTAGTTGAATCAGTGCTTGGGTTTCCGGTTGAGCCACAAGTTAAACTTCTAGCAGGGGATTTGAGGACAGCCCAGTAAAGTACTTTGTTTGTGCGTTTGTGTGTGTGTGTGTTGTGTGCGTGTTGTGTGTGTGTGTGTGTGTGTTGTGTGTGTTGTGCGTGTTGTGTGTGTGTGTGTTTTTTGATGTTACCCCTGTTTTACCAGGAAACCCAAAGGAAAGCCGCCATTTTCGGGGGGGGGGGGTCCGGAAAAAGGACACATAATTCTTTGCTGTTGTTTGTTTTCGGGTTGCAGTGGTGTTGTGGTCGCGAGTCAAAGGCTTGGAGAATTTGGACAAATGCGAATGGTATTTTTGCCTGGGGAAGCTTTAGGCAGCTCAGAGCAAGGCTTGCGGGACATTCAACAGCTCAGAACAAGGCCAGTTGGACATTCGGATTGGCAAGGTTCAATAGCAAGACTACGTTTAAGCATGCTGACCATTATGATGGTTGAGCCACAAATTTAGCGCTACTTTGCTGGATGGGAGTCGTACGGCGGCTCGAGTTCCATATGGAATCATGCGGCTGAGTATGACTACTTGGGTGCAGGATTGAGGTTGCCCGGCTGTTTCTGGCCTAAGCTAACGGGATTGCACTCAACGGTCTTGGCAGGGATTCTTGTACCGTAGCAGTCGCAGGAGACAGTACTTAGTTGTTCAGTGGCACCCTTTTTCCCCTGCCCCCCTAAAAATGGTCTTCCCCAAAAAGGGTTCCCTTTTTTTCCAGGGTCACTGAACAACTGAGAGTAGGCTTGTCAAGGCTACAAAGCAGTTGCGTCTCATTTAATCGTCCGAGCCGGCAACCAAAAATGGTCCTCAGCCATTAATCGAGCCCTGCAATTAAAACGTATTCATCATCACGTTTCCGAACGGTCTTGAAGGGGCTTAAATTTGCTTATAAGGGCCAAAATCATCCCTTTGTGACATTTGGGTTGTTGCCGAGAAGACTCCACAGTGCGGACAAATTATTGCGAGCTAGCTCGGGGATGATATAAGCTCACCCAAGCTGAAAGTCTCTCTCTGTGGGCGGGTTCCCTTATTTCCATGTTGGGAATAAGTTGCCCGGGCCATGATGTTGGGTAAGTCCTGGTTGCACTTTGCGGACCTCACGCTCAGGCAATGGTTCTTGAGCCGGACAGCAAGCGACGCCTGCCCCGCGGATGCAGACAGGATATGATCGGATATGACTTGGCGCCATGTGGGATATGACTTACGCGCCATGTGGGTTCTGCCCGCAGATGTGCGTCGAACCTCATGTTGCCAGCGCATAGACACATCCAAAGTTTGCATGCTCCGGTTTGTTGAAGGCATGGCTCCCAAGCACACAAGGTCGTTTGTATTGCGAATGACCAGTTGACCACATTACATGGGAACACCGTGACCTTGAAAACTTGACAAAACCATACTGCCAATTTGCGTGGGAAATTCGGTTCCACACCAAAAAAAACTTAAGGGTGAGGCAGCTTGATGCGCCTGCTGAAAGGGGTTTGGGGTCATCTAAGCAGGAATGAGTCTTGGCCGCCAAGAGGAAAGGGCTTGAACTGGTTTTTTGGGAATATTAACTATGAAACCGCCTCTTCTGTACGAGCAAAATGCGTTGTTCTGGAGCCCAAATTCTGTTCGCATTTTGGCTAGATTGGGCTTGCAATTGCGAGTTTTCACAAAGAAAGCAGTGACCTGCAACAAATTCTGCATGGGCACATTTTTGGGGGTTTTGGCCACACACCGTCACACACTCTAGAATACAGAGCAGAACGTTTTTTTCTTAGTAGGCATTTCTCAGTGGCCGTGAGCCAACTCCGAACAAGCTCCGAACAAACTCCGAACGAACTCCGAACAAACTCCGAGCAAACTCCGGACAATCTCCGAACGAACTCCGGGCGAACTCGGAACAAACTCCGAACAAGCGAACAAGCTCCGAGCGAACTTTGGCATTTGTTGATTTCCGAACAAACCCCCGAGCCAACTCCGAACACACTTTGGTCAAACTGCTTTTTTTCGAGCTTACCAAAAGAGGTAAAGTGATTACAGGGGCCAGTTTCAACAAGTGGCCTGGGAAGGCGTTTTTGGAGGCAAACAAACATGTTCTCAGGCCACGTGTTGAAATTAGTTCTTTTGGTCACTTGATTTTCCTGTTATGCATTTTCCGGGCTGGATTTACTTCCCGGACAAGCGCCAAACAATTTTTGGCCATATTTTTCTTTGGGGTGCTGATTTTTGTGTTTTGGCCTTAAGTTTTAGTTTTTCGGCTTTGTTTTGTCTTTTTGCTCGTGTTTTTTTCCAGGCTGTGATTTGTGCTTGATATTTTTTTCGGGGCTTAATTCTTGCCCCGAACGAACTCCGAACGAACTCCGAACGAACTTTGGCCTTAAGTTTGTTTTTGGAGCTTATTTGTTTTTTGGTGTTGAACTTTTCGGGATTTGGTCTGGGGAGCTGTTTTATTTTGTTTTTGCCTTAAGTTTTTGTTTTTCAGCTTTGTTTTGTTTTTGTTTGCTTGTTTTTGCTTTCAGGCTATGATTTGTGCTTAGTTTTTTTTGGGGGGGGGCGGGGGGCATAATTCTTGCCCCGAACGAACTCCGAACGAACTCCGAACGAACTTTGGCCTTAAGTTTTTTTTTGGCCTTAAGTTTTTTTTTGGTGTTGAACTTTTCGGGTTTTGGTCGTACAAAAACACTGGAATTACAGCTTGTTCACGCGTTTTGTCTACAAATTCAGTGTTACCAAGGTAAAAAAAACCTTGAAAAATGCTTAATCCAGGTTGTTCAGGCAAAAAAACAGCTATTTCATACGACCAAAATCGGGCAAAACCTTAAGTTCAACACCGGTGTTGAACTTAAGCTTTTTGTTTTTGGAATAAGGTTTTTTTTCCGGATTAAGCCTTGGTTTGAATGTTTTCAAAAGGCTTCGTAGGTTTGACCATTTCCGAGGGGGTCAAAATCCACGGCGATTGTTTCGACGATTGTTTCGACGATTCTTTTACCAAAACAATTGTCGCAACAATTGTTTGAGAATACACGGGCACGCAAAACAATTGCTGCAACAAATGTTTGACAAAACGCGGGCGCGCGAAACAATTGTTGCAACAAATGTTTGACAAAACACGGGTAAGCAAAACAGTTGTCGCAGCAATTGTTTGACAAACACGGATGTGCAAAACAATTGTCGCAACAGTTGTTTGACAAAACACGGGTGTGCAAAACAATTGCTGCAACAATTGTCTGAAACACGGGCATGCAAAACAGTTGTTGCGGCAATTGTTTGACAATTGCTTTATTATACGACGCGGACATGCAACACAATTGTAAGCAATCCTTGCGCTAGTGCGCTGCATGAAAAAGCATCGACGCTGGGGCTGAGGTTGGGGGTGGCTGAGCTACGCCGCTTTGTCAGCTCGCGCCGCAGCTGCTGTTTTGGACTCCAAAGGCACTTGTTGGCTGCCAAGGCTCTGTGGCCTGGCTAGGCTAACTGAGGCTAACTGCATCTCTGTCCCGGGGTCGGGTGGCGTAGATGTTGCCGACTAGGTCAGAGACCGGCTCACGGCATAGGCCTGCCTCCTTGCACAACGCGGAGGGCTGCCAAGGTGGCATGGACATCCGCCTGCGTGACTGGGGCGCTGGGCTCGCGAAGGACGAAGGCTGCAAGCGCTGCCTGCCAAATGGCCAGCAGCACTGGTAGGGACATCGCGTTGCCAGCGAGGTCCGTCATGAGGCTTTCTGTGAGCCACTTGCGCTGCGATTGGCCATGCGAAGCGTCGATCTCGTGGCGCAACTCGGCTAAAAGCCTGCGGGCTGGAAAACCTTGCATGATAAGCGCCTCCTGGCCCAAAAGCACCCGAGCAGGCCTGGTAAGCTCCACAAACAAAAGCTGCCCGGGCAACATCGTTGGGGCCACGTGCTTGCCGGAATCTGGGCTCCAGCTTTGCGAGTGGACTCGGCCAACTGACTGGCTGAGATTCCGAAACCCCGCCGAAGGCGCCTGATGCCTGCTCAGCAGCAATGAGTCTTTTTCTCGGTCTGTGAGGGTGTCAAACCAGTCGTTGCAGGCAAGGTCCGCAGGAACAGGCTGGCCCCACCGCACGCCAGCGCTCTCTGAGTAGCGCATGTGCTGCTCAATCCACGCGCTCCCTGCACTGTTGCTCTGAGAGCGGCCCGCGCTCTTCAGGGCCTTGTCTTGCCGCGCAATGAGGAACTGCTTGACATCCTCATCGTCCCAGGGCAAGAGAACCTTGCTTGCACACGGGGCTGAGCGCACGCACGACGCGACGCAGGAGCGAAGCGAGTCAAAACAAGCCTCCAGCGGCCGGCTGCTGAAACTAAAGACGCAGTTCGTGACCTTGACAAACACGACGTAGAGTCGGCGGCGCCTCGCGGGCAAGCCAAACTGGTTGGAGTCCACAAGAAGCTTCTGGCCAGAATACCCTGTGTTCGCCATGGTCTCCATGAGGTGCTGGAGGTTGTTCTGCTGGGACTGCGGGATGGCGTCGTCGATTGAGTCCACGTTCTCGTAGACGATCATGCTGGGGCCGTGCTGCCTCACATATGCCACGAACCCTTGAAACGTTTGGGCCGAGCCCCCTCGGCTGCTGACTTGGTCTAAGACCAACTTGGTGTTGTCTTTCGAGGGGTTTGCCCTGCTTAAGTCCTTGCAAGACGTTCCAACAACAAAGATGTCCACCCGGGGAATGGGGCAGTCTTTGTCATGCACCACGCAGTGCCCGGCTGCCTCACCAAGCTGCCCGATGTCTGCGAAGATGCAAGCATCACCGGCCCACCAATCTGGGTCGGAGTCCAGGTCAGCGCCTGGCAGCCCCATTGTGGTGGCATCGGAGCGGGACGTCTCCCCGTCAGAGCAACCCGCATCTGGCTCAAAGTCATCAAGCCCTGCCCAGCTTGCCTTGCCGGCTGACAAGACTGCAGAGATCCATCGCTGCTTGTCTTTATTTGCCTCGCATGAGAAGACATGCTGCAGCGATGTCTTGGCGCGCGCACGGCCAAGGGCAGCGTTGATGGCCATCGCAACGTAAAAGGCGCCCTCAGTACCTGAGCACGCAGATGCCCAGGTCAAAGTTACCTTGTCCGGCCTCGGCGCGCTCTCTTGCTGCAAGACTTGGGCAAAGCCCGCAAGGTTCTCCCGAGCCAGCTGTGGCAACAAAGTGCCATCTACCAGGCCTTCTGCATCCAACACCCGGCTGAAAGCCGCAGCCTGCTGGTCTATGTTCAACGACTCGGACTTCTGCTGCTTCAAGGTGCGGGCCCGTTTGGGTGCCTGAGCTTCAGGCAGCTCAGCCATGAAAGCTACCGGCCCGCCCTACTAGACCGACAAAGCCTGAAGACTAAGACTACAGAGAACGCGCGAGCCACACCTGAAGCAAAGCAGCGGAACAAAGTGCGTGGGTTACAAACTTGCGCAGAAGCCAACAAACCAACCGTAAGGAGACGCCCTCTCACCCTTAGCGGTTTCACCGTCAAACAAAACCCTGGGCTGCCCCAAGCCCTAGAAAGCCCGAACCTTGCGCACCTTGGGCGTATGCGTTGTTGGGACCCCAAAACTGCCACTACCCAGCGTTGAGACCCAAGCCTAGCTAGCCAAGCACGCAGCGGCCGACTACCGTTTTGCACTGCCTGCGCACTCTTTCAGGAACTCTAGGGCTACGCTACTGGGCGCGTCAGAAGTAGAACAGGGCGTGACCACGGCTTAGCCGGCTTTCCTCTTCCTGGCGGCACCTGCCTTGGCCGTGGCCTTTGCCTTGGCCTTGGCCTTGGCCTCTGCCTTGGACTTGGGGCCGGCGGTGGCTGCTGCCACAGGCGCCTTGTCAGCGGCTGTCTCCTCCGGGTCTCCTTTGCGTTCCTTGGCTTGTTTCTTCTTGTCTGTCTTGCCCTCCTCCTTGTCCTTCTTTTTTTTCTTGTCTTTGTCGACCGCGTCCTTCTTCTCCTTGTCTGCGTCCTTCTTGCGCTTCTTGTCCTTCTTTTCCTTCTTCTCCTTTTTATTCTTCTGCTCCGCTTTTTCGTCGCCACTGTTCTTGCACTCCTCTGCCGCTGCCTTTTCTGAAGCTGCCGCTGCGACCGCTCCCTCAGGCGCTGGCAGGCCGCTGCATGCGCCGCCAGGCTTTTGCTTGCTGCCTGGTTCCTTCTCAAAGCCGGCTGCGACGTCA